AGTCCTGGCTCTGGACTAAGAGTATAAAGACCCATTTTAATTGCTTTATTGAGGGGCTTGCCAGAGTTTTGTAGGGAAAGCAAAGCATTAAATTAAGCAATTGAGTAACGTTATGAGGACACAGCAGTGGCAGACAAGCACGCCAGAATTCTTATTGTACTTTAAAAACTGAATGCTGGCAGCAAAAATTCCTTTGAGTCATTTTTCTCTAAATTCAGATTCAGGAAGTGCACTCTTAAAATAAGTTCATTTTTGGAGTTCCATCTTAACTATAGCTTCAGGCCAGAAGACAGACTTCTCCAAGAGAATTGCCCTGCACAGGATCACATTTTAGCAAAACCTGTGTTTACGTGTGTGTGTGTGTGTGTGTGTGTGTGTGTATGTGTATGTTTGTTGATTGTTGCTGACAGAAACAAACTTCAATCATTAGGAGCAAGAACTGAAAGGATTAGCTTTTAATTAAGAAAAGATTAAATATGGAGCTTTAACTGTCAAAAAAGCATTTTATTTCAAGCAAATTTTATAGGCAAAATTTCTAGGCAACAATGAAGTTGTATTTTACATGCTGACATAAAACATTCTTGTAAATAAAATAGGCTTTCCTCTCTTGAAAGCCAAAACATTAAAATTAAGAACCAAAACAATAACAAAAATGTAAAATAAGGAATAAACACAAATTAATGAATAGATCATAGCGTTAAACAGAATGTATTTGCCTTAAATCAGATTTTAATATATTCCATATATTCATAATGAAAAATTAAGAAGTCATTAATAATTTATAAATAGACTTGTTGCAGGTTTCATTTGAATTGCTGAATTGCTACCTTTTGATTATTTTTAAGATAGTATCAATGTTCAAAAATCATTTCAGAGAAACAAATTCAGAGAAACAAATTTTAAATTCATACTGTGTAGGCCGGGCGCGGTGGCTCAAGCCTGTAATCCCAGCACTTTGGGAGGCCGAGACGGGCGGATCACGAGGTCAGGAGATCGAGACCATCCTGGCTAACACAGTGAAACCCTGTCTCTACAAAAATACAAAAAACTAGCTGGGCGAGGTGGCGGGCGCCTGCAGTCCCAGCTACTTGGGAGGCTGAGGCAGGAGAATGGTGTAAATCCGAGAGGCGGAGCTTGCAGTGAGCTGAGACTGCTGCCACTGCATTCCAGCCTGGGTGACAGAGTGAAACTCCATCTCAAAAAAAAAAAAAAAAATTCATACTGTGTAAACCTGTTGCTTCTGAATGGACAGCACTCTGATCAGTGCTAAAGGAGTACAAAATAAAGCTAAAGACAGAGTTTCCTTCAGAAGCTTATAATTTCACTAAGGAGACAAAACAGACGCAGTAAAGAGTGTTTCAGTAACTAGGATGCCTGTGTACACTAAGAGTAATTGCAATTTAGAGGTCACAGCGACCTCATGGTCCAGGTGGAGGGAAGCCACAGTTGAATTTTGAGGAATGTTGGATTAGAATGTGTGCAAGAGAATGGTGAGGATGGAGGGAGGCTGTGGGAAGGGACCAGTGAATGTAAACCTCAGTGGATGGTTACAACCATAATGGGTGGAGAAGAGCAAAGAGATTAGCTTTTCTCATGCTGAGGGCCCAGCTTGGAGAAAATTTCATGTGTGGGGTGCTATTGCTATACCACAAAGGGGAGAAACATGGGCAGACAGAAAAGGACAGTGTGAGTAACCCTGAGAACAGAAAGGAGTTCTTGTGCTTTAGAAAAGAGGTGTGAAATTGCATCTTAACATTTTAGCAATGGTCCTTTGGGACTCAAGAGAAAAAGGAGGAAAGAGTAGGTTTGGAAAAGAGAATCTGATTTTAGAACTAGAGTAAGAGAAGTTGTCCTGGAAATCCCTGCCTGTCTCCTCTGCTTTTGTTGTTGTTGTTGTTTTCTGCGACAAGATCTTATTCTGTCACCTAGGCTATTGTGCAGTGGCACAATCTTGGTTCACTGCAACCTCGACCTCTCAGGCTCAAGTGATCCTCCCACCTCAGCCTCATGAGTGGCTGAGACTACAGGCATGCACCACCACCCTTGGGTAATTTTTAAATTTTTTGTAGTGATAAGGTCTCACTATATTGCCCAGGCTGATCTCAAACTCCTGGACTCAAGGGATTCTCCAACCGTGCCTCCCAAAGTGCTGAGATTACAGGTGTGAGCCACCATGCCTGTCCTCTACTTCTTAATGGTAACCTCACCCTAGCACATCAGCTAATTCATCTTTAAATGATGTTAACTACTGACTAGTTATTATCGTCACTGGGGGAAGGTGAATTTAAATGATTATACCAAATCTGTGTGTGTGTGTGTGTTTTTTTGTTGTTGGTTTTTTTTACATTTTTTGGTGCATTCTGTATTCAATGAGCAGTAGTGATATGCCAGTTATGTGTTAATTCATCTATAACAGTGGATTTTGGGGAAATGAATAGGTCAATAAGGAAAATATTCTCCAATACTCTCAAAATTTAAAGGTTGCAGTAGGATGCTACTTCAGCTAATTTTAAGGTAGCCCTCTTGTGTTCTTATAGTTGTTTCTCTCTTTCACACACACATACTCATTTTCTTATTCTGTTTTATAACAATTTCCCCTTATGCTGACTTTGAAAACTTATTGTCTTAAAAAATCTTATTGCGTGCGTTCCTGTAAGCAGCTACCTCAAACACATTTTGAGCAAGGCTGAAAATAAATAAATCCAAAGTAAAAAAAGAAAAAAAAAAAAACTCCAAATCTTGCCAACCTGATGAATCAAATGTTTTTTGATCGTATTTTCTTTAACCTTTATCTGCATGAATACATAATTTACACATATTTATAGTCAAGGTGTTTGGATAAAAGAACAAAAAATGATTTATCCTCTTTCAAAGAAGAGGGCTACAAAAGGACTGAAAAATACTTTGGGAGGCCGTAGGTCCAGGATCCCTGGTGGTAGACTCCTGAGTGGAGCGTAGCATCCGCCAGGCAGCTTGAGAACACGCCTATATTTAGCCAAGGTGGGTTATGTGATAAGAGGGAGGAGGCCTGGCCACATGCTCTCTGACTCATCCTCTCAAGCACACGTGTCAGTTTTTCCTACAGTTGGGACAACCTCCTTCAGAAGACAGAGGACACAGCCTGACTGTAACTTTCCTGGGCTGCAATGCTCACCTTCTACAGACCAAAGTATAGAAACTAAAAAGCACTGGGAGCCACTGAGCCTTCAGTGAGCCCCACTGGTGATAACATTGTTATTACTTGCTTTGGGCACCCCCACCCCGCCACACATGTGCCTTTTCTCTGGTTTGGAACTGGAGCTTGTGCTTCTGTGCAGTGTCTAATTCCTCCCCAGACTCCCTAGCAGCCTGCTGGGTCAATAAGGGCATGTTAAAATGAAACTACTTTAACAGCTACTTCATTTCCCTGCACTTTCTGTTCAAAGCTGGCATGTGTAATCCTGTGATACACAGGACTTTAGATTAGAGCTGGGTCAACATAATTTATAGGATCCTTTTTGAGGGGAGATTGGCAAGAGATGGAGAAGAATGCAGCATAATTTTGAGCATGAATTTTAATCATTATCTACAATGACTAGCTTTGTGACCACAGGCAATCTAGCATCCCAGGGCCTCAGTTTCCTCATCTTTGAGTATGTCTGTGTTCTCCTCAAGGCTGTGATTATCACCAGGGTGAGAAGTGTGAATGGCACAGTGCTTGACCTAAGCAGTGCATGGCTGATAGCCGTTTGCTGACGGCTAAGAGATGGAAAATGACCTGGTTGTAGCGACGTCACAATGAAGAGACTCTTCTTTCCAATATGGATAAAGCTTCCCCTGTATCTGCCTTCCTCCTAGTAACACTGACTAAAATGTAATGCTGACTGCCTAGATCACAAAGAAGAATTTTCTACAGAAGCCACAAGGCCATTGTTTACATGCCACGTGTGCTAAGTCTCAATCTTGACATTCCCCAATCCAACTTCCTGGCAAATATTGTTTGACTCAGGGAACTGAGTTAACAGATATTGAAATATGGCTATTGAGTACCTTCACTTATCAGTGGGCCAAGAAAAAAAATACCAGGAACCTAATTATATTTGAATCAGATTAAACATCTGTATGCTTTGATCCACGCCTGGTGATATAGGAATTTAACTTTTTGAAGGACTGGTTCCTGAAGGTCCACTGGGCAGCTTTAGAACTGCATTACTTTGAGAAAGTGTTGTAACTTCTGAGCGCCCTCGCCAGCTTGTTAATTTGAACCATAATGCCAGCCTCCTCCTTTCCAGGGCTCATATGGAGTTCATCTATATGTATGCAGGCTCTTTGTAAATAGTGAATGTCTACAAATAGAAGTGATTATTATTATGCTTTTTATACCTCCTCTAGGTGTTTGCTGGTATGGACTGATTGACTTTTTCCAACATTATTATTCCTATGTAACTGATCTCCTGAAATGTCTACCATCTCCATCTATAAAAGACATTAAATTTTAGGGAGTAAAGTCACTTCTTCTCTTGCTATCCTGGTTATCATTACTCATGATTAGGCAGAATTCTGCTGGCTGAGATATGATTCCAGGGAGGCCTAGAAGAGTCCTTCTGTGTGCTTCTTTCCCAAATATATTCCTGACAAACTTGCTAATAATGAAAAGCTCCAAAATTGGGAATTCACTTCATTGTCACTATTCTAATGGAATTACACTTTAAGCTCTACCATTTATATATACGTTATTCTGAGTTCATCTAATCATTTTAACAGGTTTTCAACAGAGAGAAGGAAATTGAACATGAGCTAATGGTGGGGACCAAAGTCTCAGAGAATGAGAACTCTGCAACTGCTGATATGAGAATTTTTCTCTGTATAGTTGGTGAAATATTTGAATGATATCCAATGATTAATGTTTCTTTAATTCTCTAGGTGACCAAAAACCACACGGAATTATCTAGCAATAAATTCTCTCTATATAAGAACCAAAGCACTTGGGGTTGAGGAAAGAGAAGAGAAATAGGTCTTACCCAGCAGGTCTGGTATCTTCAATGGCTCTATCCACTGGGATCAAATCACTAAGGTAGACATTGAAGTTCCCTTCTTTCCATCTTCTTTCTGCCTCCTTCTCCTTTCCATGGGGGACAACTACAGGACGCCCAAACTGCCCTGGAGCTTTGGGGTCCCTTGGAGAAAGCGTCGCATCAATTCTTAACACCTGGTGCATTCCACTGTCTTCAGGTAAAAGGGCTTTTGTATGACTCTGGTTGTATTCTGTAGAGGGTGCTTTGGCAGTTATGTTGATTTTTGCTGGCTCTAGCCCTCCAGCTAAAGCATGGTTAGTTTGGGACAGTGGTACTCTATGTGGAGCAAGTGAAGAGAAAGACATTTCACTTCTATTCCTGGAAATGTGTTTACCTTGGCTTTTACCCAATACTTTAGGAAATACAGTTTTGGTTTTAGAATTGGAGACCTCCTTGGGGTCTGCCTTTTGCTCTTCTTCTTTGGTTATAATCACAACATGGCTTTCAGAGAAATTGAGTTTCTTCCCATGAGCCAGTCTAGCTCCATCATCCTTTGACAAACTTCCCAAATGTGTCTCATTAATAGATGGCTTCCTTAAGCGATTTGAATTGACAATGAACTTAAGAAAAGGAAGACTCGTATTGGCCTTGTGTTTATTTGCATTGACTTCTTTGCTCTGAGACTTAGTTTTGTTTAAGGCCATGACTTCCCCAGACTTCGGCTCTGCTGTGCTGGCAGGGTGTGCCCTCTCTTTTGCTACTGCCTGTGATCGCTTCTTTGGTCTGTCAGTACTAAGACTGATGGTCACATTCAAGTCCCTTTCAGCTGCTAGTTTTGATGTGTCACTGCTGGGACTATGACTCTTCAGGGGCTCCTGTTTTAAACTGACACGTCCCATGTGTGCTGATATTTTGACTAATGGAGTTCCTTTTGCTGCTATGAATGAGGTTTTTGGAGCCCCCTGAGCTGTCATTTGCTTTGGTGTCCCCTGGTGAGAGGAGGCTTCAGGGTTGGTGCCTCTCCCTTCTGTCTTCTGCTTGTTAGGAGGCACAGGGAGGGTCTGCAGATGTGCAGGATGCCACAACGGTACAACCTTGCCCCTTCCCAGGGCATTCTGCATTTTTCTTTCCCTCTGGGTTTGGTCCAAGTCGACCTCAACCTTGAGCACACTCTCCTCAGTTTTTCTAAAGTTCTCTTTGCCCCGTGCCCCTTTCCCATGTCCCCTTAGGGGAGGTTTCATCTCTTTTATGCTGCTGTAAAATATTTTCACTTGGTCTGGCTGAACTCTGAATCCTATCCGCTCCCTCCTCACAATGTCTTCCTTGATGACCCGAGTGTTGATCTCATTGAATGAGAGGCGGAGAGCTGCCATGTCAAAGAGCAGCCAGATGACAGAAGCTACAAAGATAAATGCCAAGACTCGCCCACTTCCTCGGAAAAACTTTCGGATCCTGTTCATGGTACAAAGCTTTCCCTAGCAGCCTGCCCTCCCTTAGCCTGCTTACCTTGAGTGGAGAGGGAGCTGAAGTAGCAGCAGCAGCAGCAGCAGCAGCAGCAGAGTTGCCAGAAAGTGACCCCCTCCCCTGAACACAGCAGGAAGCAGCAGTCCAAGGGGAAAGCTCAGATCCTACCGCTTGTCAGTCTCTGCCTGCGTGGCATTTCATAGCAGAGCATCTGTGCCTGCTTGGCTGGCCCTGGCTAAGTTCTGGTAAACACTGGCCTTAGGTTACTCCAGGAAAAGTTGATTCCAGCCACCGAACAGTTCAACACATTACTTGTCTTGTCTCCGGGAGCCCATGTCCACCTTCCTACAAGCCCAAGAAAAGGTGGGGGCCAGATTGAGGCTGCTGTTTCTCTCCTCCCCGTTCTCCGTCTGCACGCTGTAACTCAACACCACTTCTCATAAGGAAAACATTTCATGCCATTACCCAGAAAACTTCATTCAGCTCTCACCTTCTGTGTTATGTGAGAGCGTGTGTGTTTTAAGGGCAATTAAAGAGAAAAAAACGCTATCTAACTTGGAGGCCATGTGTTCCTGGTTTGTAACCCCACCTACCCCACTCCTGCTCTTTAACCCTGTTGTACCCAGGTGCCAATGCTCTGCCTGAGGAATTTATCACTGAAGTTAATATTTCAGCTTTAAGACACAACAGCTTAAAGAAGGGGCCCGGTATATCCTCACTTCCAGAGATGCATATGTTTAGTGATTTAGACCATTCCTTCAGGGGGTTTCAATGTATTTCTTTATAAGCCAACTATTGTTTTTTCACTAATCCATCTGTTTTTATTATTCCATTCAATTAAGAATAAACTTAATTTGTCATATTGCTATAAAAGTTTCTGAACACTTTGTTATGGTCTGAATGTTTATGTCCACCCCAAATTCATACGTTGAAACCTAGTCATAAATGTGATAGGGCTTCTGAAGATGATGTGATTATAAGGATAGAGTCCTCATGAATGGGATCAGCACCCTTACAAAAGAGGCCCTATGGCCTTGCCATTCCACAATGTGAGGGCATAATGAGAAGGTGCCATCTATGAACCAGGAAATGGGCCTTCACTACTCAACAAATCTGCTGGTGACTTGATTTCTGACTGCCCAGTCTCCAGAATGTGAGAAATGAATTTCTGTTGTTTATGAGTCACTTAATCTGTGTTATTTTTCTAGAGTAGCCTGAACAGATTAAGACACATTTACTCTCAGTTTCAGTACTTATCTCGTCATGAACCAGCGAGAAACAGTTTGAGCCACACCAGGACTTGGACTAGATTTTGAGTGATGCTGGTTGACTGGTAGGGTAGTGGCTCCCCCACAGGCTTTTCATTAGAACCACTTGAAAGAAGATTCCCCCAAACTAAGATCAATTGATGAGAGAGGAGGCAGAGATGATAGTTGGGTTGATATTTTACATATATATATATATTTTTTTACAGAGCTTCCCAAGTCTTTCAAATGTGTAGCTAAAGTTGAGAAACACTGGTCTAGAAAAAAAGTCGAATTTTTTTTTTTTTTTTTTTTTTTTTTGGTTTTTCAACATTGCCCATGAGACATTTAATTTTAGGTGTCTACTTGACTGGGCTAAGGAATACCCAGAGAACCAGTAAAGCGTTATTTTTAGGTATATCTGTGAGGGTGTTTCCAGAAGAGACTGGCATTTGACTCAGTGCACTGAGCAGAGAGGAGATGCCCTCACCCAGTGTGGGCAGGCACCACTATTTGGTTGAGGGCCCAGATAGAATAAAAGGCAGGGGAGAGGTGGATTCTTTCTCTCTTAGTGAGGTGGGACATCTTTCTTCTACTTTTGGACAAGAACTTTAGGTTCTCTGACTTTGGTCTCTGGGGCTTGCACCAGTCTGCCCCCACAACTCCTACATCCTCCACCAGGTTCTCAGGCCTTTGGCTTCAGACTGAGAGTGATGTTATTGGCTTCCTTGGTTCACAGGCCTTTGGACTCGGAATCTGCCATGTTACTGGCTTTCCTGGTTCTCCAGCTTGCAGGTGGCCTGGCCTGAGGTTTCTCAGCCTCCATAACCATGTGAGTCAATTCCTCTAATAAGCTGCAGCTCATTTATCCATCTCTATGAATCCTATTGGTTCTGTTTCTCCAAAAAAAATCCTGGCCAGTATAGTCTACAACTTGTGTAACATTCCTTCCCTGACAAAGTGCAGTCTAATAAAAACTGTGCATTTCCATAACAACAAAATCAGCATGTACATTTTGACATTGCCAAATAGAGTCCATTTGACTCTATGGACATTGTCCATAGAGTTTGAGAAGCACTGCTCAGGACCACTGTCCATCTCTCTGAGGAACTCTGAGTGATTTGTAGACAATACTGCCATTCATTACTCTAGTGTGGGGCGGGTCTAGCTTCCATGCTTTGAGGTAAACTTAGGTTTCCAATGACTTGAGAGGGGAAGGAGAGATTCCAAATTCTTTATACATATGCATTGCTTTCTACAGCTTTTGGCCTTTGCCCCATGGGAAGGAATGCAGATAAATGCAGCTACCATAACATGTTTGTTGAGTGTCTCTTTTCTGTTCAGTGCCTGCACACTTCAACTTGGAATATCCACATGGGTGGCAGCATCAATGGCTCAACTATTTCCTGTGTGCATCCCTGTCTCAATTTGTCCATCCTTCCAATATATATTGCTTATATTCCACAGCTCAGGCCATGTGTTGGGTGTTGAGGGACACTAAGTAAAAGGATATAGTTCTTGTGCTTGAGGACCTCACAGTTTATTGATTGACACAGACAAGTAGGAACATGTTATATGTTACAATATGCAATAAGTAATTTGGGAGAAATAATATCCTGGATTCTATGGGACAGAGCTTAGTTTTGGGAGGCAGGGATGATTTTGAATAAGCTATTCTTAGACTTGAAAAATGAATAAGAGAATAAGAGAATCTTTGCCCATATTGTAGTCTGAGAAAAGAAATATTAGATGGTGAAAGGCACATAAATTAGCAAAAGCATAGATATGAAGAGAGAGCATAGTACCTTAGGAGAATCACAAGTTTTTGAGATCTAGCATGACTGGAAACACTTAGTGTTTTTCTACATACATGTATGTGCATGTGTGTATGTATATACATATGTGTATTTATTTTATATATATATAACTATATATATACCTTAAAACTCCCCTCAGTAGAATGCCACCAGCAAAAAACAGCACACATCTTTAGCATCCATGATCTAAAATAAAGTGAGAATTTTTTTAGCATCATGGATAAATGGTTTGCATCGCAATATTGTTTTAAGTGTTTTATATATACATCTCAATCACTTTGCTAAGTTCTTTCCATTGACTATCTCACTCAATCCTCACAAGAATCTAATGGGAATGAGAAAATTACAATATGCATTTTGTAGTCAGTAAATGAAACCTTAGAGAGGTAAAGCAACTTCCAGTAGAAATTGGAGGAGTTGGGTCTTGAATACACGACTGTAGTCCCTGTGCTTCAATATCACACAGTACTGCTTCTCTAGCTGTGTGACCTTGCAGGATAGTTAATTTTATGTGGTTGCTGAGCAATAAAAAAATATTCTGCTTTGCAGGTTAATGTGAGAATATTTACAAATGGTTTAAGTTATCGTTACATTTGAAGGTACTCTGTAAATGTTGGCCACTGCCATTCATATTGTTGCTAATACTTTGCTGTAATAGGAGTGTTGGGTGCATGTGGGAGGCAATGTACCCAGCTCTTCCCAGAAAACAAGTAGAAAACTAGTGACTAACATGATTCTGGCAATGGGGAAGAAACATATCTGAGTATTTTATTTTATTCTTGCCATTCTTATTTCCTCTAATTATAGATTTAACAAGACCATTGTTCACTGAGAACTCCCTACATGCCCCAAACATGAAGTAGGTGACATTGTCTCTGCCCCTAACAACCTTAAAACTCCCCTCAGTAGAATGCCACCAGCAAAAAACAGAGCACACATCTTTAGCATCCACATTCCAGAATAAAGTGAGAATTTTTTTTGGCATCATGGAAAAATGGTTTGCATTATAATATTGTTTTAAACATGAAAATAGAATGCTTTAAAATTATTTTACTCTGCGTGATTCAATCTTGTCCAGCCACCATCCCACCCCAAATGGCAGTTGGAATTACTCAAATGTCTTTTAGGAAAGTCAACACTTGTTACATTCTATGCCTGATAGTTTAAAACACTCCTTGAAATATATTCTTGTTTCCATATAACTGTTATCAAAGAGTACTGATTTCTTTTTATCCCTCTCTAGTTTGTCCTTACAACCAAAACACAAATTACTTGCAACTGGAGAGCAACATGTTAAGAAAATTAAAAGGGAATCTTGGCTTATCTATTATGGGTAAAGCAACGTATTAACTCTGGCTTAGTTTTCAGTCTATCTGACATATAATTCAGAATGAGATGTGAAGAGTAGGTAAGAGAGTAAGTAAACGTTGATTAAATATCCTAGAAATAGAGGAGTAGATTGGTTGTCAGACCTGGTCTCAAGTACTGACTTGGCCACTAATAGCCATATGACCTTGGATGTGTCACACATGGAAAAGCTTGTGTAAGGTTCTCTTCCCAGCCTCTTCTTGGTCTTTTCCCTTGTGAGTTAATGGTAATCTGTGATGATGGCAGAAGTTGGTTATAAGCCATACCACTGATTCAACACTATGGGTCTTCAGGGACTCAGTAACAATTTCTATGGCCCCCATAGCTATACAGCTCTCTCCTTTTTCTTCTCTTTTCTGACACACATGCTGTTTCACATCTCAGATCAATGAATTTTATAGGTAAAAGAAATAAAAAAAGAAAAGGATATTAGGAAATTCTACCTATTCATCAACACACATATTGCCCAACACATGACCTTTATATATTGGTAAATGATGGTGCTTCTAAAATTTTAGTTGTATTAATTTCCATGTTATCAGCAGGAAACTAAATATGCAAGTTGGTTGGTTATTTGAGGTACCCCACAGTTAGGAAGCCTGGCTTGTCATCCCAATGGTAGAATGCAAGTACCTTTGGCTGGTCAAATTTTTCAAGAATCTGCACGTACTTAGTTGGAGATGATATCCGTCTGAAAATCTGGAGTTATGAATTATCCTTGGGAGACGTTTGGAGGGGTTATTCCAATGATCAGTCTCACTCCAGTTGGTACTATAAATTTAAAAACAGATTTTAGTTTCTTCTTCTGTAAAACAGGTATAACAGTAGGAGGACTTGCCCTCTACTCTATTTGGTTGTTCTCAGGATAATCATATTAATAGCAACCATTCATTGGGAATTTACTGAGGGCCTGCCACTAGTCACTTGACATTATCTCATTTAATCCTCAACATTTATTTTCACAGACTAGATCATAAACTGTTCAGTAAAACTGATCTGCATAAAGTTAGCATGAAAAGTATATTTGTGTAATATTCTCATGGCAAATATCTTTGAATTGTCCTCATTGTTAATGAAGTAGGAGCTCAGTAAACACTGTTTTATATCTAGCCTTAAATCTCTCGGATGGGAATACAGAATCTTAGAAACATCAGTTACAGCTCTCTGGCTGTGCATCTAGCATTACTTTCTCTGGGTATTTGAAAGTTTCTTGACTATGTGATTATATCCTGAGTAAATAATATTTGTTTTATTTTATGATATTCACTCAACTACTCACCCCTAAGTAAAAAGAAAGATGTAAAAGGAAAATTAACTTAAATGTATATTTTACAGAGAATAATGATTATCCATAGATGCATCACTTAATTTCTTTTCCCTAGATTTATTGAGCTATAATTGACTAATAAAATTATATATATTAAATATTTAAGGTGTACAACATGACTTTTGATAACCTTATACATTGTGATATGATTGCCTCAATGCAGCAGATCTCCATTATCTCACATAATTATCTTTTTGTGTGTGTGGTGAGAACATTTAAGATCTACTCTCTTCACATGTTTCAAGTATACAATATATTATTATCAACTATGGTCATCATGCTGTACATTAGCTCTCCGGAACTTACTAATCCTGTATAACTGAAACTTTGTAGTCTTTGACCAATATCTTCCAACTTTCTCCATCCCCCAACCCTCAGTAACCACCATCCACCATTATACCCTCTACTTCTATGAGTTCAATTTTTTAGCTTCTGCATATAAGTGAGATCATGAAGTATTTGTCTTTCTATGCCTGGTTTAGTTCACTTAGTGTAATGTCCTCCAGGTTCATCTACAGTGTTGCAAATGATAGGATTTTCTTCTTTCTTTGAGGTGAAATAACATTCCTCTCTCTCTGTGTGTGTGTGTGTGAGTGTGTGATGTATATATGTTTGTATGTTGCACTTTCTTTATTCATTCATCTGTTGATGGACACTTAGGTGAATTCCGTATCTAGGCTATTGTGCATAATGCTGCAATGAACATGAGACTGCAGCTGTCTCTTCAAGGTACTGATTTAATT